AAACAAATAAATTATATATCACTGGAAATAATATGACACTATCTCAAAGTATGCAGAGTATTAAAAAATGATACTGCCTACGTAATCCCTCAGATAACTTCCTTCAAAGAACTTTGTAGCATACTTTCTGACACCTTAACAGGTAATCTTGGAATCCTAAACATTTCCTTTTTCCTTTGAAATTATATTTTGCGCTTTTGTTTGCGTGCATAGGAATGGAAACCGATTTGGAAGTGCTGTGGGCCATTAAAGTGTGGATACTGTCGCCATAGGGAGATGGAAAACGGGGAATTCGAATAGGAGCAAAGGAGCTATCGGGTGAAGCCCGCAGCCGCAGAGTCACCGACATGGTAAAAATTCGTGTTTGCCAATGTGTCCTTCCAATAGTTCGATGAGTATGTGTGTGTGTAGAGGGTGGTGTCCTTCTAACTTGGTGGTGCGTTGTCCTATTTACGTTGTCGTACTTCATGCATTTCAATCACCAAACACAACACAATTTAAATATGCTGATTGGGTGGCTGAAATTTCGGTTGGTCGTCAAGCTGGCCAGCCTCGTCGCCAGGGACATTGTTTTAGCCCCCATTCGCTTGGGCTGGGGTCATCTTTAATTGGCTTTGACCATCGCCTGTTTTGTTGCACTATCATCCGACCCCCTTTGCTGCTGTTCCGGCGGTTGACATAAATTTTGTTTATTGACGAGCTGCATCGAAAACCACATGCGACATTGCTTAGCTTAAAATAATTTAATTAATTTTTGTTTGCGCTTTTTAGTTTAAACTTTCGTGCGCACTGTTGACATGCGAAATGGCTTTTTTATAATTGGTTTTTATTTCGCAACGGTGACCGGGATGTTCCCCCTTTGGTTTTGCGGTAAATTGATGCTTGAAATGCGACCGGAAAATACAATTATATATTGGATCGGTATTCCTAGTTGTTTTCCATATATTTGTTGGGTGCTTTATAGCAAATAATTTAAATTTGATATCAAGTAAGGTTGCAGAGCTTTTTTATGTCTTTCCCTTTTTTTATAACCGTTACAAAAAGTTTTAACCATTAAAGGTAAAAGCAGAGAACATTTTTAAAGATATTATTTACTTAGAAAGTAAATGCAATCCCTGCATTTCTGAAAAAGTTGTACCTCCTCCAACAGCTTCATGAAATATCCATTTAACAAGCTCTCCATTTCAATCAACGCGAGACAAAGAAAATTCTTGTTTAAAGTAATCACAAAAGTCCCTTGAAGACGAATTCATTGAACTTTTTCCCCGTTGGTAATAGAGAATGATCCGAGCATACACCTCTGATTTCCCCTGACAATTGGAGAAAGGGGTTGATTTTTGGTGGACAATTCAGCGGAGGCGTCGCCCAGCTAATCTGCTCGCTGTCAAAAGTCATTGAAACAATTCGAAATGACAACAAATATGGAAGTCGCACAGAGATACAAGGCAAACACCTACACACATAGAAAGGAAAATCTGTGGGCGGGATGGGGTGTAGATTGGAAAAACTTGGGGCAAACGAGAAGCGAAAACTGCTGACAGTTGCATAAACAATAAAGGCAGTCCCCAAAAAGCGAACTCAGCCAGCGAAACGAGCCAACGAATGCGGTCAACATCAAAAGAAAGGATACAACAAAAAAAGGAAATAAAGAAAGGGGTAGAAAGGCGGAAGAAAGGGGTCGGCGAAAAGAAAGCGAAACGAAACTGGAACTGGGAACTGCCAGTGCAACACACATGCAACGTGTGGCAATTGTGGGAGTGGCATCCATAACACCCGCCCATCCACCAATTTCCACCCATCCCATCTCCATGATGACTAGAACAACAATGTGACATTTTTTCCGCTTTGACGACAATTTCCCTCGCGGCACAAACGACAGCAGCCAAAGCAACAGTAGCTACTAGCAGCTAGTGCAACACCATTGCCATCGTCACTGCCGAAACTAAAGCTATATGGCAATGGCAACTTAACGATACAACGGATGTGGAAGGTCCAGAGAACAAGAGGGAAATTCCTGATCAGGGAATCGAAGTTTTACATACCCTTCTGGATAACTTTCAATATGCGAAGCTTACAGATCTTATAGATTAGATTAGATCTCGTAGATTGGAACAGTAAAGCTAGAACAGTAAAGTAGAAACCAAAAAACTTGGATTGCATACATATTATATAACTTTGAACCCAAGTGGGGGATCTATCCCCAATATTCCCTCAGGGGATCCGCGCAGGGACTATAACTATAAATTTAATCGGGGCAAATAAGCTCCTATGAAAAAGATTGTTTTAAAAATTCGTTATAAATCAATTATAATTTTCCTTTTCATTATTAAGAGATATCTTGAGTGGGATTTAATAATTTGTAAAATATTTTAAAATCTAATATTTACAAAATTGTAATATATATAACCTTTTGTAGTAATTCCCAGTAATTATCTGCATTCCCTCCCTGTAAACTAACGGCTTATACATATTTATATTTATTTTTATATTTCAAATTAACATCATTGCTTTTTGAGGGTAGACATAATCATAAGCTAAGTCCTGTAGATACTAACTGTATTTAAACTTGTTAATTTTTTATTTTTTGAGTTTTTTTAACATTTATTACACAAAATTCATTTCATAGTTAGAATACCCCTTTGGAAGAGCACGGCCACTGAAAGTCCAGAGATGTAAAGGATGTATATCCACATCGCAGTGTCGCCGGGCAAGAAGGATGTGCAAGGAGCACTCTTCATTTCAGCATTCCCGCCTTCCTTTGCCCGTGGATCACAAAAGCACGAAATTGATTGTGTAAATAAGAAAACGAAAATGTCGTTAGTTTACGTTTTCCGCTGACAAGCTTTTGAAACTGGCCAGAACCCAGAACCCAGAGCCCAGAACTCAGGACCCACGACTCGTGAAGGGGGCGAAAACGTACTGGGAATGCAGAAGCAAATAAAATCGAGATGATGCAGAGAGCAAATGGCATTGAGATAGACAAAGAGTGCGACGAAATTAAAAATGGAATTTACTCGTTAGTCGCATTTGCAGTTTATTGCCAACTGACTTTGATGCGAGGCATTATCGGTGAAAAATTGATAGCTGCCGCTTCAAAGGAATCCCAGCGATTGCAAACGAATAGAGTGAAAAATCGCACAAAAGCACTTTGGCCCTGGCAGACAGAGTCTATCAATAAGTCAAAATTGTACATAATCTGAGATGCATTTGTGAAGCGAATGCATGGGAATAGCACTGGATGTTATTTTGCTGAGAGGGTTAAAGAAATTTAAGATGCAACAAAGAAAAATAATTCAGACAAAACACAGAAAACGATAAAGAGGAATATGATGTTAAGTTATTGAAATAATGGGACATGGGAAAAGATTTTTAAAACAACTGAAAAACTCAATCCATCAACCAATCATCAATCGTCTTTAAACCATTTAAAGCTAAGATATGCAAGTTCGAAGCAAGTTGTATCAGCCAATAAATTTGTAAACTAAACTTTTTGGCTATCCACTTGAGCATCTCTTTTCATTCTTAACAGTTTATCAAAGACTGGCCATCGACCTTGGCCACAACTTAAAAGAGCAATGTAAATGGTTGAAGAAACTTTATGAAAAAACTTGCTGAGTGGGAGATAGAAAATTTAACTCTGAGAAAGTGGTCGGTGGGAAAAGGACCGGAAACAAGGGGAAGTGGCAAGCAAATAATTTAACTATCCTTGCGGTGTGTTCTGCTAGACCAGGCGACTATCTTTGAATCCATTTTGAACCGGCTATCGGTCAGTTGGCCTTTCAATCGCCTTCCTGACTCCCTCTTCAATGTGGCGGTGAACCTTGTTGGAATTCCATAAGAATGTTTCCGGTGCCACAGCTACTGCTTACACTTAAAGAAATGGCTAACTTATATGACATTTGTGAACGTGCTTAAGTAGCTGACATTGATATTTGGGCTACAACACATATCACTTTGGTTTTAAAGTCGATTTTAATAGTAATTTTTGGTGTCTAAAAGTATGCAAGTAATAAAGAATTGTCGTATTTCTGAATGACGTCATTGAGTTTCTAACTTATTTTGTTGCATACGATCAGAAACTTAACATGAAATTTAAAAGAGACTTTAAAACCCTAGTGATTTGTGTTGCACACCCCTTATAGGAGTTTAATATTTTAAAACACTGAAGTTTCTAGGCACTTTTTAGTATTTATATTTAAAAATTTTTTTATATTTGGCTACCATTTTTAAAATTTGTAAAATATATAAACATATTGGTATTCTTATAATCTAAACAATATACACAAAACAAAAATTTGCAATTAAAAAAAGTTTAGAGAAAACTATGATGAATAATTACTCGTGATTCTTGATTAAGATAATTTTAATGATAAGAACTCAATAATGGTAAATTTTTCTAAATGCACCACCCTCTTTAAGTTCGATTCCTTTTGGCGCCACCAATTTCTGGCACCCGTTCAAAGTTGCCTTTGCAGCTCTTCCCTCCGGAGTTTCCACACCCCCGAAGCCCTCGACTGAGGCTACTTATGCCCGCCACCGCCTTCCAAATTGAATGAAAGCACATTTTGATTGAAAAGGAAATTTACGGTGAACTTATATAGACAGAAACGGGAACCACACCAGTTCGCAGGACCTGGGGCATCTCCTGCATGGCTGCTTTAACAGCCAATGTAGCGTTGGCCGTCGACGCTCCCGGCGGATTTATCAGTCAATGTTGGAAAATTAGTTAACGGGTTTGCCGGAAACTTTTCTTTTTTGCACGCCAACTTGGCCCACAAGTTCGATTCGCCCACCAAAATATTTAAGGCTCAATGTCCACAAAAACGGGGGTAAATGTGGGCAGGGATTTCTTTGGTTTCGTCGTAAAATGGAAACCACAAGCGTTTGAAGTTGATGGCTGAAATTAATTTAAGGTTGGTCAGGGGAAAGTTTTTATAATTAACCTTGAAGGGAAACTGATTTGAGCCAATTTTTGGGTTCAATAGCACAGCAACACAACATTTAAGGTCTATGATCTACGAACTTTATTTCACATAGATATATATTAGGTATTTTGCGATTATGGAATACATAGTGCGTTTAAACTAAATCTACTATATAGACACAAGTTATTTTATAAGGTCGCTACTTTAAGTATTATAACAATGCGTATAAGAATAGTTTAATTTGGTTAGAATTACTTCTGCTCACTGTGCATTATATTTCAACCGATTTTCTTAAAGCACAAAATTAAACTAAATGTTTGTGGTTTTTGTGCCCTCTGTGCCCTGAAACCTTTGCCTATAAAATATATAAAATGAAAGTAATAATCATGGTTTGCATTTTGTATATATTATCTTTGTTTTTCCTTTCTCTCTTTTGGCTAATTTTATTGTTGGTAATTTGTATTTTAGGTACTTCTTGACATGTCTGACACATAAAATGTATATTAAATATATTTTCTTTGATTAATTGATACCGTACAAAGCACATTTATTGAAATGTTTTTTGTCATTAGACGCCGGATTTAATACGATATCAATTTGTTAAAATAAGATTTGTAATCAATCAGGGACCGCTGAAAATTTAATTTTAAAAAACCAATTCATATAAAATCCGACGTCTATTGATCATATTTGAAACTATTTGGTGACCTTTGTGTGACACTCTATTTCGACTCTTTATCCTGCTTAAAACGTATCCCTGCAAGTTCCCTTATTCCAGTATTTTTTGTAATATATCACCAAATATCTTGGTTTATATTAAAACATTTTCACTATGTGTACTGCCGTCCACTGTGATATTTGATATATGTATACAGCCGTATTTACAATAATAATAGTTGATCTGTACTTTTTTTAAATACAGCTGTACCATTTTTCTGATGATATATCAATATGCCAAATATTCTAAGTTTTTTGTTTATAAATATTTGTTAATAGGGTTAAGGGTGTGCACTTTCCAAAAATCATATTTTTTCTGAATATTATACTCTTAAAGAAAAATGAAAAAAAGTCAATAAGAGCCTAATTAACGGATAAAAACAGCAAGAATAAATTAACCTGCTTTTTCAAAAAGACGTTATTGTAAAAGATTATCAACCGATAGTAACGGAAAACAAACTACAGACTGTTTAAATAAATAATAAATGTTAGTTATGTTAATGTAAGTCTACAAAAGGTTTGAGCATTTGCTCCATTCGTAACTCTACAAAAATTGTGCTTTTCCGCCCACGCAAAAACCCTTACCCAAGACAACCACCGCCGCTGTCCTTACTCAGACACAAACCAAAAGCAGCCGGCAATTGTGGCAGCTAGTTCTTGGTATTTGTAGTTTTTACTGTGGCCAAATTGTTTGCCGGTTCTTGCAGTGCAACCCACTGTGCCGTTGCATTTTTGGCGCGGAAAATTTCCTCAAAAAATATTTTTTCTTCGGTGCGGACTTCGGGAGAGTTTCCAATGAGAGTACGCCCCAAAATTTCACTTGATCCTGTAAAAAATAAAAAATACATTTTTTTTGTATTTATATAAGTTTTAAAAATCGTAATGGAATTTTTTATAATTATGAGCTTTTTTTAAAATGCGTATAGTTTTCTAAAACTTTAAAATTGTTGTAAAAACAATTAAAATTTCGCAGAAAGTTCTAAAATGTTAACTTTGTTCTATTGAGTGTAATATTGTCAATCACTAAAACATTTTTTTAAAATATAATTTCTTAAAAATTTTAAAACTGATAAAATTGTATATTTGAAAATATAAAAAAATATACAATTTATATTATAGGTTTTTATAGGCTATGGGATGGTTTTAAATATAATACGAGTGTTTAAGAATATACCTTATCTTTTATGTTTTAAGCCATTCAAAATTGTTTCTATTAACTTTAAAACATTCATAATTTTTTTAATGTTATATAATTGTATTGATATTAAAAACAATGAAGAATGTATCTTTTCTAAAATTAATTAATAGTTTCTTCACTCACCCAATAAACCATCGTGGACCACGGTGAATTCTAGTACACAATTTTTCAGGGTTTCCTTCGCGACATCGAAAGCCAGGGCTTCATTATAAACGGGATTCAGAGTGCCCCTTTGAACGCCCGTCTTCCGTTTCTTCATCTTCTTGCCACCGGGACCCAGGAGAGTAACCTTCACGTACGGATCCGAAGAGTTTCGGGCATCGTCCACAATTCGAAGATTTCGGGCCTTGATCAGGACCACCATCAAACGTTCCGCAGATGGTAAATAGGCCAGGGACACCATTATATCTCCCAGATCCACTTTCATATCCTGGGCCGAGGCAGAGCTCAAGGGAGTCCAGAGTTTCACCTGTTCACTCAGATCCAAATTGGCCAGATGTAGCTTGGTTCCACCGATACAAACATGCCGGGAATAGGCATCAAAGTCGTACAGTAAAATCTCAACGGTTCGTTTATCAATTACTCCGGCTGTGACTTCAAAAACAAACTGCTCATCGAAAACTGGAAAAGATTTTAGAAATAATTTATTATTTTACCATTATTATTATTATATTTTCAAACCATGTAATTATTTTAGAACATTTTATTTTATATAAGGCTAAGTAACTCAGTAATGGATACTTCGATTGTATATAATACAATTTTTATCAGAATCGAAAGCAAACAAGGAAGAACGCTATAGTCGAGTACCTCGACTATCAGATACCCGTTACTCAGCTATATGGAGATATGCAAGCAGCAAAGCGAGATTAAAATGCGCCACCTACCGGCGGTATACAGATTTAAGCGTTATGGGCGTTAGAGTGGGCGTGGCAAATTTTTTTTGGATCAATCGATAGGTATCGACGAGACCAATACATTTCAGTTAAAATTTTTTATCTAGCATGAAAATTGTGGGCGTCACAGGTTTTCCCGGTTTGTGGGCGTTAAAGTGGGCGTGGCAAACTTTTTTTTGGGTCAATCGATAGGTATTGATGAGAACAATACATTTCAGTTTAAATTTTTATTATAGCATCAAAACTGTAGGAGCCACAGTTTTGGGCGGTTTGTGGGCGTTAGAGTGGGCGTGGCACTGTGCTGAAACAAACTTGCGCTGCGCAGGAATCTCAGGAATCTGCGTGCCTAATCCCAGTATTGTAACTCTCATAGTTTCCGAGATCTCAGCGTTCATACGGACAGACGGACAGACGGACAGACGGACAGACGGACAGACGGACATGGCTAGATCGACTCGGCTAGTGATCCTGATCAAGAATATATATACTTTGTGGGGTCGGAAACGCTTCCTTCTGCCTGTTACATACTTTCCGACGAATCTAGTATACCCTTTTACTCTACGAGTAACGGGTATAAAAATTACCAAATATTGGGACTATTTAAGAAATATTCACCTGGATTCAAGGTCCTCTTGTGAATGCGCGTCTGCCAAAAATTCTTTTTATCCGGTAGTAATCTTACTTTGGCATAAGGATCGGCAGTTCCACTGAATTGTCTTGGCTGAAGATTCTGAGCTTCCAGTAGTCGAACATTTAACAAACCACCTACAGGATCGTAGACGATGCTAACATGCAAATTGCCGCGGACTTCACTGACGGAAACTGGATTGATGGTCTTCGGTTGAGAGTGCTGTTAAAATATATATATATGAAATAAAAAATCTTTTGCAAAATAAGAAAAAACTCCTTTCACTTACGCTCCTGTACAAGGTCATATCAATTTTAGTGTGATCCAATTTGGCATTCATGGAGGAAACCCTGGGACGACTTGGGTGCATGGCCAGGACCACATGCTTATCGGATCTGGCGATTGGCACGGAAGTGGTGGAGCAATAGGACAGGGTGTTCGACTTCAGGCTTCCGGTGGGCGAAGTGGGTGTGGGCGGTGCCGACTCCTCGGTGGTGTTGGACACCTGTTGCTGGATGGCAGCCGTCGAGGTGACCGAAGCGGGTACCCAAAAGGCGGGGTCATTGTCCTCGCTCTTTAAGGATGTGGGGCTGAGGTTGCCGGCATTTCCACTGCCGAATTTCCCACGCGGCACCTCGTTTATGTTGTCCACATTATAGCCCGCAGCACCGGCAACCAAAGCCTCCCTGCTGATGTGAAACGAAAACAATTGGGGACGTTATATACGGTTATATGCGGTTAGTACCAAGAAGGGGGCTCCAAAATTTCGAACTGAAATGGAAATTTTAAATTATCCTACACAGGTTTACCATTTGTGGAATGAGAATTGAGAATTCCTATTATTTTATTCAGGTGGAAAAAGCAAATGTTTGAATTAAACTGAGGTTTTTCTTAACTCGATGAACCAAAAAAATAGCATAATTCCAAAAATAATATAGTTTCGTTAGCACTACAAAAATACTAATAGCCAGAAGCTCCTTTTTATCTTTTTAGCATTTCATTAAATATAAACTCAGTATGAGATTAAAATATTTCCTGCAATTTTTCTATTGACCAATAACTTTTAGAAAAATTTATTTCAAAAGCGTATTTACATTTTGCAGAGTTTTTTTTTTTGACATTTTTCTTATTTTAATTTTTTTAACGCAAAATAGTCTACACTTTTAATTTCAAAAGGTGTTTATGCCTACCTCTGTTGGTCCTCATCCTTTTCGTTGGCCGATTCCAGGAGATTTTGTTCAAACCAGTTCAGGCGATATCGTTTAGAGCAGGTGGTGTATAGGGCTGCTCCAACAGCCGAAACCACCAGGAAGGAAACTGAGGCATAGACGCCAATCTGGGCCAGTGAAATGTCCTCTTCACGTATAACAATATCCATTTTTCTGGCTGTGAAAGAATCTGAAAGATAATAAAAAACATCAACAGGTCAGAGAATGCAGCAATGCCTTTCCTCATAAAACATGACACGACAATGCGGGTCAATTACTCGGCCTGACCCCACATTGACAGCTGCCCACCTGCCTAATGACACCCAAACTAGCCATAAAACATTCATTAGCAAGTCAGGACCTCGGGATGTGTGTCTCATAAATAAATCAAAGCTCGGGGCCCCACGTCCGACATTCATCTTCTCGCTGGCTGGCTTTGTGGGTTATTAATTGAGCGGCTTAAGGTGGTAATGTTTGTGGGGCACCACAGAATCCTGACCCACGGCACGTGCTCACAGTTCCCCACCAGGTCTAGGGGTCCACCAGGAGGATAATGAAGGGGGTGGGGCTTTGTCTTTGTTAGACCGCAGCCACACAAAATTGCCATAAAGGCGCCTCGGCCTCGGTTAGTTCGCAATTAGCCGAGCAAACTGCCAGGTGACACCTCCTCATCCCAGGCACCCCTACAAAATTCACCAAATTACACCCACACTCAAAACAAAGCAAAAAACAGAGGGTAGGATGTCCGGCATTCAACTTATTTAACCACTGTGTGCGCAATTTTATAGTTTCACTTTTTCTAAGAGTTAAACACGGGTCTAAATGAAAATGTTTGTGTCTTAAACAAGGAATCCGCTTAAAACTTTTAACTAGCTTTTCATTTTTGACCATTATACATATATAAAGTTTACTATGTGTATTCTTAATTAAGTCTTATAAGCAAATATATTCATTTTAGTATAAAGTATTTGTGTATTTAAAATTCTAAACATTTTACCAAATGTAATTAATTTCACAAAGTTCTCCAATTTTTCTATGTGCAAAAAGAATGTAGCGAACGCACAAAACTGCCACGAACAAGATGAAGTGGTGTCTGTTGAAAAAGCTAAAATTTATAACGGACTTGTTAATTAATTAGTATATTTATATTTGAAAACCACCTTTGGATGATTCCAGCTTTTCCTTTTTCGACCCAGAAATTTTCCCCGGCCCACCACAACCCCTTTTTTTCCAGGCCAATTTTCTGCAAATTTACTTTTCGCTCATTATTTATTTACAGCCAACTTTTGTTTTTGGGTCTACGCTTTCTTTTATGGCAATTGCATGAGGTGTATATGCGGGTTCAATTCCCTGTTTTCCCTCTTGTTTTTCGGGTTCCTTGGAAAATCTTAGGGAAATGATTTATGATGGTGATGATTTACATAAGGGAATGTCCAAATAAGTGAGTTTGGGCCTGGCCTTAATGTGTCTGCTTGGAAAATTTATGAAATTAGTTCTAATTTAAACTCTGACAGTTGCGAAGATAAGCCGCTATCGCAGAAGTCAGAGCCGTAAATTAAGTGAAAAGCTCTTGATGTAGACATTTCCAGTGAAATCAATTTGCCAGCCAATCGCCCGTTAATTCCCTGGGAAATATGGCAAAATGTCAGCGAACTGATATCACCTTCCGTTTTTACCAGCCGCTGCACAAAGTAAATCACACATAACCCAATCAATGTCAAATTGGGCAGATCGCAGTGGTGCGCCCGCACATCATCAGTCAGTCATTCAATCATTCGAGGTGTCCTTTTGTGCCTGGATGTCCTGACATTCATGTCCTGGCACTCTCAGCCCGCACAAAATTTTTGTCACAGCACATGTGGCCATGTGGCTTGATGAATTTTATCACCCTTTCTCTAAAATGGGCATTTTTACTATCAAATTTTAGTTCAAAAACAACATGATTCTTAAAAAAATAAACAAATGTTTTGCATTAAATCGCCTTATATAGAGCAGGTTTATTATAATTGAATATAAAAGCAATCTGTTGGCTAATAAATACCATGTCCTCTGTAAGTATTAATCAAAGGAACCCTTTTGATTGACCAAAAATAAAATCTCATCCGATTTTTGTGAGTAAACCAATTTTATCCTAAGCCCAGCTTAATAGCTTAGGTAACCTAAGAGCTTTTGAAAGGGTATTTTAAAGAATCTTATCCATGGTTTCGTACTCCCAGTTCCCTCGTTTGCCCACATGCATCATTTCCACATGTGTGGGCCTGTGGGTATAGGGATTTATTGCTCCTGTCATAAATTTCAATACAAAAACCGCGCTCTGGCCCTTTTGGGCCGACTGTCTGGTATTTGGTTGGCTTTGTAAATCATTTTGTGGCTTTTATCGTGCACATTTTCACTTTTCGCTGGAACCCCTAGATAACACCGCACTACTTCCGCCTGCGTTTTCCATTTGCCTCGCAACAAAGTCAAGGCCAGTGATGCGTCCCTCCCAAAGTCCCAAAGTCCCGCCAATATGTTGACAATGTGCGACTAAAATTAAGTTTATCTAATCGATAAAATCAACCGCATGGTTCATTGCCTGCCTGGGAAAAATGATGGGTGTGTGTCGGGCCAGCTTAATCGCGTGATTTCCCCCAGAAGCCGCCGGCGATTTCATCATCCTCGCTTAAAAAATTAATGGATAAAGATGCCTTTTCATGGTCTCAGCGCCTTTGAATGTCGCAATTATGGCAAATTATGCTCATTAGTCTAATGAAGTGTTTCTGTGACTCGGTTGCCATTCCCTTTCTCGGCCAAATCCACGCCCTGCTGTTCTTTTCAAAGAATGTGGACAATTGCAGTCGTCAGCAAGGCAAACACCCAATTATCCTGTTGCTATGGCTGTTGGATAAGGCTAGGTCCTTACTTTTTCAAAAATGCTTAAAAATTTAAGAACTCTTGTTTGTAAATCCCGTTTTGAAAGCTTTTATTATGGAATAAGTATAAACCTTTGCCATGCCAGAAGTTTTTGATTGTGCGGAAATCAACTTGACTCACAAAAGCTAGCTTTATTAACTCACTAAACAACTTCCATTAAACTATCATTTTTCTTCGGCTTCCGGAAGCACTTTGCCCCTATCCTTCCTGTCTTCCGTGACCATTGTTCGGCTTATCCTGCCGTCGAGTATTGCGAAAACATTGGCCAAGTGCTGGTTGCACACCTGTGTCCCTGGCAACAGTAATCGACGACATCGGGTCCACGAGGATGCGCGTGTCTTTGTTGTCCTGCATTGTCCTCGACAAAAGAATGACCAGGAAAAAAACAGTGGACTAACCATTCTTAGCACACAATGAAAAGGTGCAACTTTTAATAACCTAATACAAATTACCAATTTGTATATTTACAAAATGTATATCTCAGGGGGTGTCACTCAAAGCAACTTTGTAAAAGTAACTTTATCTGTCTGAAAGTATGAAAGTGAGCAAAGTACAGTTGTCTTTCTAAATAAAATATTTTGTTGCGTACTTTTAAAATTTTTGTTGCATGTTTTTTGACACCTAGAACATTTAGAAAATATTCAATAAAAAACGAGTAGTTTGGGTGGCACAGCTGTGTACCAAACCTAATTTCAGATCTAAAAGTGGACAATGTATTCTTGTCCCTGTCTGATAATATTAAGAAACAAATTTCACAAAAAATAAATTAATTTAAATTAATACCTTGATAAAATTTGAAAAATGATTTCACAACAAACTAATTTATGTGAGTTTATCTATGACCATTGTTCTTCCAGGATTTTCATTTACTTTTATTGATTTTGTTCTGTTTATGTTACGCGAACCTTGCACAGTTGCAAAAACAAACTTATGAAGGCTCCTGCCGACCTGAAATTCATTTAGCTCATGGCTTTAACTCGTTCAGTGCAGTTCAACCAGGGTCCCCCGAGCAACAGATGAAAAACCTTCGGTGTGCATAAACAAGCAGCTGAAATGATGCCAACATACACGGTCCGAGGGTCACGGTGTCCTCCAGGAGCCCGAGTTCACGGTTCCGGAGGTCCTGGCCGTCAATAATCAGGCATCAGCAATTTGTAGTACGCGCCATAATGACACAGCAGAGGCGCTAGTTTATACACATCGACAACATCATCATCATCATCATCACCACCATCATCATCGCATTTGCCATCCTTTCGAGTCTCCGTAATGTGTCTGTTTTTGTTATCCGAGTTGATTATCTACCACCAATGGCATCGCCAGTTGTTGTCCTCCAATGTCAATGGGATCAGCGGGGCAAATTGAATGCTGACCCCATCACAGTCCTTGCTAATTAGCCATCAATGAATATTTATAGCTTATGGCGGAGTTAAGGGGGATATTCTACAAGCAGCTGAGAACTGGCTGGATCCAGGGTAAAGTTCATAAATGGATTAACGAACTTGGCAGCATAAGGAAAAACTTGACATTAAAGCGTTATTCCTTTTGCAAAGTTTGGATTACACAAGTTATATAAGCAAAAGCATTTATGAATAATTTTTTTAGGAGTTCGTTTCGTATTTTTAAAATGATGTATATAATATTTCAATAAGAAGTCACTAGGATTTTTAATGTGCGTGGAATTACGCTGTAAAACCTTTTTCAAATAAATTTTAATTTTGAAAGTGTTTATTTATGAGTTCAAAAGACATCTGAAAAGTCAAATGTCCTCTCATGTCAGCAAATACTCGTATAAGCCATTCAGAAGTAAATTCCTGCCAATCCTTCCACTCTCATTTGCAAACACTCCCAGAGCCCTCTATATGCGATAAAAGTGGAATAAAAGATCCCATTAAAATCAACAGCCATATGTCAATTTGCCGCAGGCCATTAAGCCAAGGGACCCAACCGACGGGGCACGGAAAATATTGAAAATAAAATTCGTAAGAGAGGTTCCGTGAATGCAAGATAAACAGCAATTTAATAAAGTGACCCAAAGTTATGCGCCTCCAGTATAAGGGCAGGAGCATAAAAATAAACAATAAAACGCTCATTAAAACGCTAAAAAAGCCCAAGAAGTAAACAACGGAAAATGTTTACATGCGCACTCAGGAAGGCAAAAAAAAAAAATACGAGAAAAGAATACAGGAAAAAACATGTCCTGGCGTGGGCTAAGGAAATAAGAAGTGTGATATTAATACTTGGGTTCGCAACAAAGGCAAAGCCGCTCCGAAACCCCCATAAAGCAACCCAATGGTGGGCCAGAGGCTAAAGAGCTGCCAATAACTCAACAAGTTAACAAACATGGCTGGCTGGGCGCTTCTTTATGGCCTCGTCAATGTGGCCTGTAGCTTCGGGCGACGTTTTTGCATTAAAAATGCATTAATCTTGGGACACGTGATAAATATTCATGGCTCTTCGGTCTATAATAAATGCACTTCTTTGGTGCAGCCTGTTGACTGCCTAGCACGCAATATACGAGAAAGGGGATATATACAGTACATATGATGAAGGTCGCTCTATTCGGCTACAAAATGGAGGTCGGGGTTCACGGCCGTATACGGGCTTTTCAAGGACATGCTTGTTGTGTTTGAGTGGCTGCCAACGTGGCCAACAAGTCCTGGCTTCTCCACCAGCTTGAACAGCCCGCGGCTGAGAATATCCCACCGAAATCCTTATAGTCTTTTCAGAACGGAACACGGCAAATTGGGTAAAGGATCCCGCATGTGTTTCAGAACACGTTTCGTTAACGCTCTCGACTAATTAAATTAAAATACCTCGGCTTTGAGCGAATTTATCACAGCCACTGCACAACGCATAACACGTGTCGTATACGCAATGCAATCATTTCAATCAGCAATCACCCGAAAAGTGGCAATGTGGGAGCTGCAGAACAACTCTCGACAAGCGAAAGGGAAACTCATTCTCAAAAACAAACAATTTGAGTAGACTTTGATATGGTATCAACATGGTTGTGACGTAAATTGAGATTAAATCTATGCCTATTGAATGATACAGGAGTTCTATGAGTTTTTTAATAGACTTTTGTGTTCAAATTAAAGGGAACACTTAACTAATTAAAAAGCTCAGTGAACAAAAAAAGCAATAATTGACCAATATTTGCAAAATAAATTAAAACAAATGACTAAATTCGCTTAATAAAACTTTGTAGGTAATTAAAAAATTGGCACAAATAAGAAGCAGAAATAAACATTTATCATGTTATTATAATTCAAGGCTAAATCTGACAGTCAGAAAATTTGCGGAACTTCAATTCCCCAAGTATATTAGCCTTATATTCTTTCCAAAAACATTACCATAATTTTGTTCGCCAACTCCCATAAGAATACCACAAGATCATGTACTTCCCTCCCCATCTCAAAAAGATATCACAAACAATTTCACTTTGAGTTTTTCTCTAGAAAATTCTGCAGAACTTTACACGAGATGATTTACAAAGAAAACTCACTAGCTTAACTTTTACAATAAAAGTTTGCCAGCTTACATTTCCTTCTTCGACTAGAAAATCAATTTCTTTGCTCAACAAGTTCGAATTACATTGGCCCCACAAAAGCATTGTCCCAAAAAGATTTCACTCCGACTTCAAAGCAAATAAAACACATAAAATATTAAATAGCTTGTTTCCCAGACGTGCCTTAACTATTTTTTTCAGATTATAAAACCGAATTTGTATGCAAATTGAGTTGACATGGATCAAACAGCTGTGTTGGCACTTACCCGTTTGAATATTTGCGAATCGGTGACACAGAGTCGAATAAAAATTGTGCAAACAATTTTCTTATTCAAATTGCGGCAACGCAACAATATGTTTACCAAATCCTTTTGACGGTTCAACGTGGCGTATACGCAATTCGCTCTACACGGAACAACGCATATTGTGCGTGTTTTGGGTTCTTAACGAGTTTTGCAATGCAATTTCCTTATTAGCAGGCTTTCATTAATTTTTAATCCAATAATCCCTTGTACACACTGGTCAATTATTTCAAATAATTGTAGCCAAAGAGAGAGATAACTGGAAGCGGTTAAATTTTCCTTTTTTTTTGGCTCACGCGCCTCAACAACTTGGCCAGAGCGTTGCTGAAACTCGACTGTGTTGTTGTTCACCAAAAATTACACGCAGTTACCCGATGTCATGTTCCATCAGACCCACACACTCGCACCCAAAACACAGATGGGCTCATGGAAACACACAAACGCAATGGGGAAACTTTGAGTCCTCCAAGGAAATGACCGTTGGGATCTCTTTAAGAAATGATTATTTTTTAAAAGCCAATTATTTCGATAGGTTACTGCCAAATATTTTGTTAATATTTTCGCATTCACCGGCTATTTAAGCCAAAAATAAAATCTGTTACCGGAAGGAAATCCATTTTACACAAAAGCTTCGTTCAAAGCAACAGCTGGCCCGTTTTGTAAAAAGCCCGCGAAAATTGTTCATAACTTTGCCGGAAAGCTGCTGTCTTCACATAGCTTTTCAGGATTTCAAATATTGAAGGCGTTGCCACTTGGTTTTCTATTGAATTATTCCAAGTAAATAATATAATGCTAATCTAAATATAATTACCGTCCCAATTTTCGGAATAATTGTGTTTAACTTTGAAAAAAAATTAATCTGCCATTTGCAGACTGCAAATTATATATTTAAAATATATTTCGATTAAAGTTTAACTCAAAATAAAATAAAATTCACATAATAATCAAGATGAACTGCACTTTTAGCGAAGTCATTGAACAAATTTTATTGCATTTTTTTAAACTTATTTTGCAAACCCATAATTAGATTATGGGAACAAATCAGAGAACTGATAATACTAATTTTTATGATTTTTATTGCACCTAGGCTTGATTGTATTTTTAGAAGTGATCTTTCCGAGAATCATTCTGTATGAAAGCAAGAACTGAAATTGCAGAAAAAACCAGTGAAATCTCCTATTTCATCCTGAAATTATTCAATTAAAATAATTGGTTCTTAGTCTTTTTGGCTAAGGTGAGTTATAGGTTTCACTATCAACATATTTCCGGCCGTGGACTTGACAATGTGTTTGAAGGTGAATACGAGTTTATTTCTAGCTTATCTCAACATTTTAAAAAAATTTGTCAGAATTAATCTCTGATCTACGCCCCTGTACATTTCTAGACTATGTTAATAGCACCATTCTCTCAAAGATTCTAGTCACACCAAAATCCGGCTTTTCCCAAAAAAAATCGACGCATGTTTCGGAATCACTTAAAATGGCAATGATAACCCAAAATAGCGGGTTCAGATTGTGTGCAAATTCTCTTTTTTAGCTTAATTGTTCTCAGCTTTTTCTTGACAATCTAAAGACATTTAATATGGGGGTGTCTACTCGAGTTATACCTCACAGTCAAAGTCAGTTAAACATCTCGTAATACTTTCGACTACGACTTTGAAATGTTTGCGGTGTTAAATCGAACGTGATGATGCTGATCTTAACACTGAGTCTCTGTCATATTGGATTACCAAATGCTGTAAAAACCGCACATCAATCTTGGACTCAATCGAAAATAACAATCGTTCAATAACAATTGAATTGTGACGTCTTAAAATTACATTTAATAATATTTTCTTGTATTAGTTTATTGTGTTTTGTTGAAAAATATTAGATTTTACGGCGTAGTTTAAACTATTTTATTTGCTAAGCAATATTTGCTATTTATACCATCCAATGACTAGATGCTCTTATTTGCGTTTTGTCTGGCGCCTTTTCAAATGGCAATTTAAATAGTCTGACTTATTTCATCAGCCCTTTTATTTTGCTACATTGAATGATTAAGCGTACGAGTACTCACTTCATGTTAATAGTTCATATAGTTCAAAAGCGTGGAATCATTTCATAATTCCTTTTAAATTCAAGTTCAAAGTTGTTGTCAGCAATAACATTGAAGTCTTTATCTCTGTTCCCATTATATGACTTCGACAATTTAGAACAAACGTCAGAGTTTGACACCAATTTTCATTTTTGGCGGAATTAAAACGCATTTTAAATTAAATTATACAAAAGTATATAAAGAATACAGGCTATTAACCCAAAAAGTATTTTGATTGCCTGAATGACTTGCGATCAAACGGTTCGAGTGGAAGTAATTGATTAGCCCGATGCACGTTTGACTTGTGCCAATAAATCAATTGTAATGCTGATAAGCCGTTAACAATTTCCCTTTTAAGTAATTGTTGGCCCATTAAAACTACAAGTTAGCAAGTAATTAGCTCATTGAGCATCCAATTTTTAAAGAGAATAATACTACTTATGCTCATCTGCCCGAACATACTGGGAAATTGAGTAATATGTGTGCGATTGGCCATAAAATGATTATGACACAATCTCCCAATCTCAGTGCAATGAAAAGCCCTCCCATGAATATGGATGCAAACAAGTTTGCTTATACATTTCTATATATAGCTATTAAAATACCCGATCTATTGGGGCTTCGTTTCTCTGGGTCCGAAGTCTTATCACCGGGGCTTCGGCTCCAACGATCGACTCACGTGTTGTCATTTATAAAACGATTACAATCCAAGGCATGAATGACACTCCAGTACCGGTAGCTGCACAAGACACACAACAAGACCCCAGAGAAACTGGAACTGAAACCGATCAAGCAGAACTCAACTCGAATCGAGACTCCAGACTGTCTGAAGCGGTAGTGCGGCATTACAAATCGTTATATCAAATATTAATAAAAGTGAAAGTAATCGCATACAAAATGTCATCTGCGTTGACGAACCTCTTGCAATCGCTGAGGATAGTGCCCTTGGGACACGGAAAATCCAGTAATCAAGTGGTGGTCGTAAAGGAGCGATTAAAGGTGGAGGATCTGCCGGAGATCAGTTTGGAGGAGGTGGCCCTACACGATAGCTTTGAGGACTGCTGGGTGGTGATCTACGACAGGGTCTACGACGTTACCCACTTCCTGAGGGACCATCCTGGTGGCGACGATGTCATCATGGATCACGCAGGACGAGATGCCACCATCGCCTTCCACGGAACAGGACACTCGGGAGATGCCATCGAACTTATGAAGGACTTTCTTATTGGCCAATTGCCCATCAGACAGCACATTTTTCGCACTGGCAAAAACAAGGTTTTGTCCCTGGGCATACCGGAATAATATTATTATAATGTCAGCCGATTTAGCGGCAATCGCCTTCGACGCCGTCCTCCACGTTGTATATGTCTATATGTTTCTAGAGTATTCATTGATTTTGTGTCTAGTTTTAATCAGCTTTTTTCGCATTCCGCAAAACGGCTTTCGCTTAATCATCAAAAACCATTCAGCCAACTTTGTATATTTATATGATGGTATATATTTTTGTCAAGACTTGAAACGGATCTAAGATTAAATTATTTAATTGTGGCTGTGCTTTTTAATATTCGCCGATTAAAAATGGTGGGGTTTGGAAATATCTGGATGGTGGCTTGTTGACTCATAGGAAAATGATGATGAAATATCTACTAGAGATGGTTTGCCCTTCGCTTATTTTATACTCTCATAGTAAATACTCTCTACTTCAATAATACTTTATTTGGTAATATTCATCTTACATTTAGTGGTTGACATCATGTAAATGCACAAATAAGAAATGCTTATGACAAAAATAAATATCACTTAACCGATTTTCACTTGGCTGCTCTGATAAGAGACTGTTTATCAACCTCCTTTCGTCTGACTAGTACACAAATATTTGGCATTCTTGTATTCAATTGACTTAAAAATATTGCTTGTTTATGGATTGCTTAACAGGAGAACTCTCGTTTATAAGTGGTTCGGAATCTTATTTAACTGCTGCTGGAGGGCGGTTCGTTGTGAGGTCCTTGGAGAAGGGCCTGCAGTTTGGCAGCAGCTGGGAAGGCACCCAAGTCCAGAGGTGCAGCTCCCGTGGTGCTTTGTATATAGGCCAGCAGTCTGAAAATTAAATAAAGTTATATTATAATTGTATCTATATTTATTTCACTATGTTTCCTACCTTCTCAACTCTTCTAGGGCGTTTTGCTGCATAAGAATATAGTTCTTGGCCAGCAGTAAGGTGGCTATTTTCGATAGCTTCCGAACGGAAGGTGAATGGGCATAGGGAATAACACTCCTTAGCTCATCCAGGGCATCATTCAAATCGTGCATCCTTCGCCGCTCCCGGGCATTAATATTCAGCCTCACAGTCTTTCCCTGGCGATTTTTCTGCTTGCCATTGTTGGAACCACTTCCACTGGCCGAACCACTGGACACAGCCACCGTGGTGGTGCCTCCACTTATGGCAATAGCCGCAATGGCAGCGGCCGTGGGACTCAGTGGTTTTTCCGGAGCACTCGGTCCTGGTTTGTTCTCATCCGTCGGTGGCTGGGGCTGGGACATGCCCATGCCATGGGCATAGAAACCACCCAGACCCACTGAACCCAGTGGAGTTCGACGGCCTGGAACGCTTTGTGGTGGACTGGCCGTAGGTGCTGGATGCTGGCCACCCAGCATATTGGCGGTGGGTGGTATCGGCATGTGTCCATGGTTGGGGAGACCGGGGAAACCGAAGGCCAGATTCGAGGGATCCATCTCTATTTATTTTTTGGTAGTTTTTCCCAGCTCTGAAAAAAGTTGTTGAAGGGATGTGTAATCTTTTAGGGTAGTCCTTGCCTCTCAAAATATTTCTATGCAGGGTTGCAAAGGGATTTAAGAAATAGGGGTGGAAACTGTCAGCTGTTCAGTGGCTCCAACTAGCGGAAATTGGCGAAACCAACAGCTTGACAAAGCTGTTCATAGGTGGAGAGCTTGCCTGTTTACCACTTGTCATTTAAATATTTTATAATAAACCTAAGTATTAATTTTAGTTACTGACTCCAAGGTAACTTTTAATCTCAAACTCTGCTTAGAAACTCTTTGTTCGTTAATGAAATATGATTCTGTAAACAAAGTCTGAGCTTCGTCAAGCTTTATATAGGTGGCGCTTTGGAATAGACCAATTTTGAGGGAGGTTTTCGCTTTGCTTCATTTAAATCCACTATTTAAACGGTTTTATTTTAAGTTCTTTACTACGAAGCACTATTTATAAATTATGAACTGTTAAGGCAAAATAAAGGCATATTTTTTCAAA